GAGAACGCAAGCTTGTGTTGGTTCGGTATTTAACGACGAGAACGGGGCAGCGATCGAGAGCCGAATTTCAGCAGGAATCGCGGGAGAAGCGACTGATTCGGCGCTGAACAGCGGGATTTCGGCAGGATTCCGGGGATTTCAGTCGGGATTTCGGGCAGATGTCGTGGATCCGTCGGGTATGATTTTGATGATGATTTTTTTTTTGATTTTTTTTTTGTTCTACTGGTTAATACATAGAGGTTAACAAGGAGAACCAGGATATGAGCAAATGGGAGAGGTTGCTCACCCCGCTGGCTGATGGTAAAATTGGTAGTAGAATTTTGGTAACAACTCGAATGGACTCAGTTGCAAAGAAGATTGCAAGGGTCATTCAAGAGAAGACGGTAAAATTTACATTAGAGGGCTTGGAGGAAGATCAGTGTTTGAGGCTCCTCAACTTACATGCATTTGTTGGTGTAGAGAACCCCTCTGATGATGATCATAAAAAATTAAACGTCATTGCTGGAGAGATAGTTAAAAAGCTTTTAGGGTCTCCATTGGCAGCTAAAGTCATTGGTGGTGTTCTGAATGACGACTTGGATGAAAGGCATTGGAGGACAGTTCTAGAAAGCAATTTATTGGGTGAGAATTCTATCAATTCTATCTTAAGACTGAGTTATGTAGTTCTGCCAAATTATCTACAAAATTGTTTTGCATTTTGTTGTATGTTCCCGCAAGATCATACATTTGATAAAGATGATTTAGTCCAAATGTGGATTTCATTGGGTTTCATTCAGCCATCTCAAGGAATGACAATGGAGGATATTGGAGGAAGGTATTTTGATGCTTTAGTAAATAAAACTTTAGTTGAGCAGGTCAGAGGTCACTATAAGATGCATGATTTAATATATGAGTCGGCATCTAAATTTTTTGCACAGATATGCGGTAAATTTGTGGATGATGAAGAGTCATCTCTCAAAATTTCTGAAATTTTTCGATACTTATTTGTTGAAACTACAAATCCAGACATCATACAAAAAATTGGGCAGTTTAAACATTTGCATTCTCTTTTCTTGTTCTATAAAGCTTTTAATGAGGATATTTGCAGTGCACTTATTGAAATATTCAGAGCATCAAGAAGCCTACGCTTATTATATGTATGTGCTCCATACTTGAAAGAGATACCCGAGGAAATTGGAAATTTGATACATCTTCGATGCTTAAAGATTGTTGGTTATAATTTGACTACGATGCCAAGATCTCTAAGTAATCTGTATCACTTGCAATACTTAATATATGATAGCCCAGGGGAGGTAGAACGTCTACATGAAGGTGATGATTTTTTACCAAGGGAACGTCGACATAAAGCTGATGATTTTTTACCACATGACATTAATAGCCTTCCAAACTTGCGTTACATGAAATTGCCCAAGAGTTACAGTTCATTGATACGTTGGATTGGGAAGCTAAAGTCTCGTCCAGAACAAGTTGTGAGTGGTTATAGATCAATTGGGGAGTTGAAGAATATGAATGATTTTTGCATTTTAAAAATCAACCGCCTTGAATATGTGAAGGACACCGAGGAGGCTCGTAATGTCCAATTATGTGAAAAGACGAGGCTCACAGATTTGACCTTATGTTGGACAAGATCTGATTCATGGAAAATCGCTTCATGGAAAATTGCTTTATATGAGAACGTGCTCGACAACCTTCAACCACCAAATTGTCTAAGGAAGCTGAGCATAAATGGTTACTGGGGTGCAAGGTCTGCAATATGGATGAATAATGTCAATATGATCTTCAATCTAGAGGAAATCAATTTGACAGGTTGCAAGGAGTGGGAAACTCTTCCTCCTTTCGGGCAACTTCCCTTCCTCAAGTCACTGAGACTTAAAAACATGCCGAAAGTAAAATTGCTTGAGAGTAAATTTAATGGGAATGATAAACACCATGCCTTTCCTTGCTTAATTAAACTGGAGCTTTGGGACGTTCCTATGCTTCAGGAATTACCGAACCTTCCTCCCTCTTTGGAAGGTCTAAGAATTAAATATTGTCATCCAGAGTTAAAGAAGCGCTATGGAGAGGATGGAGGCCCCGATCGGCACAAGATTGCTCACATTCCTGAAATCTATATTTCTACTTGATACATAAGCAAACTTGTTTTAAAAAGATAACAAAGTAGCAATGTCAGCATGATATCTTATTTGTTTGATATATATGAAGTGTGAAGAATGCAATGTCATCATGAACCAGTTTGTATCACTTGATCGATGTGTCACTTGGTTTTAATATGTTCTTTTAAATTTCTTATTGATTTCTCTAAATGAAAGAATTATTGAATTTTTATTTAATTTTGGTTTTATGTTTTTGAGTTTGCAAAAATAAAATAAAATTTTAATTATCAGTTACCGGTCATCTTTAATTTATGAATTTGGATCAACTTTAAACATTACATGATTTTAAATCTTATTCAAACTTATTTATAAAGTTTTTTTTTTAAATATGAGTTTTCTTTTCAAGTTGATGTCAAAAGCGAGATTTTTTAAAACTCAATTAATTATATATTTGATTGTAATAATATAAATATATAATCTGTAAGGTAAGATCGGGACAACAGAGAACAGAGTATGTAGAAGAGAAAATATGTTTTCTTATTATTATTGTCAGACTACAGTGGATTATATATAGAAGAGGAAAGAACAAGAAGAGTAACAAATTACAAGAAAGTACAGAAAGTGAGAGCCTAATGCACACAGTAAATATAATATATTTCTATTGCTAACATCCCCCGTCAAACTGATGGAGGGGGAGCGACGATCAGTTTGTTGCATAGAAGTTTAAATCGCCGTGTGGGTAGAGGCTTGGTGAAGATGTCGGCTAGTTGATCGTTGGTTGAGATGTGATGAATGGTGAGATGATTTGACTTGATGCTATCACGGATGAAGTGGCAGTCGACGTCAATATGTTTGGTCCGAGTGTGATAGATCGGGTTGTTGGATAGAGCAATGGCGGAGGTGTTGTCGCAGTATACGGTGGTTGGAGCCGTTTGTGGAATGTGAAGTTCTTCAAGAAGTTGACGAAGCCACAGCAATTCAGCGGCTTCAGCAGCCAATGCGCGATACTCGGCTTCGGCGGAGGAGCGAGCAACCGTTGCTTGTTTCTTGACTCGCCAGGAAATCATTGATTTGCCTAGAAAGTTGCAGTACCCGGATATTGATTTCTGGTCTTGAATATTGTTTGCCCAGTCGGCATCCGAGTATCCCTGCAAGGTTAGTTCATCGCGATAAAGAGGAAGACCATGATCGGTTGTACCTTGAATATACCTGAGTAGGTGTGTTAGAGCATTGAAGTTGCTGTTGAGCGGCTGGTGCATTGCTTGGCTGAGTTGATGAACGGCGTATTGTATGTCCGGTCGGGTGAGAGTGAGGTACTGTAACGATCCAATTAATTGACAGTAAAGATGAGGATTTGCAAATTTGTTGGTTGGATTGTTGTTGATGGAGGATTTTCCAGAAGAAGGATTGGCGACCGGTTTAGCATTCTGCATTCCGGCTCTAGCCAATATGCGGTGGGCATACTGTTGCTGATGAAGAAGAATTCCATATTTGGTGTGAACGGTCTGGATTCCTAGGAAGTGAGCAAGAGAACCTAGATTGCGCATCTGGAATTGCTTGTGTAAGCTTGTAAGAAGACGGTCAATCTCGGTAGATGAGTTTCTGGTTAGAAGGATGTCGTCGACGTAGATTAGGATGTAGAGCCGAGTTGATTTTGATTTGTAAGTAAGAAGAGAGGGGTCAGCCGAGCTTATAAGAAACCCGAAAGCTTGAAGGTGAGCAGAGAGAGTGGCATACCATTCTCGTGGAGATTGTTTGAGTCCATAGAGCGCCTTATTGAGCTTGCATACGTAGGATTGGATGAAGAGCATCTTGAAATCCTTGAGGTTGTTGCATGTAAACGGTGTCCGAAAGTTTGTCGTGCAGAAAGGTGTTGGAGACGTCGAGCTGATGAATTGGCCAGTTGAAGTGCAGGGCTAGGAGAATAAGAACCCGAATGGTTGGTATTTTTGCGACCGGGCTGAAGGTTTCTGTGTAGTCGAGCCCGTGTTCTTGATGAAATCCTTTGGCTACAAGTCGAGCCTTGTACCGGGCGATCGAGCCGTCAGAGTTAAGTTTTGTTCTGTATGTCCATTTGCAGCCGACTACATTTTGGTTTGAATTTGGTGGTATAAGATCCCAGGTACCTTGCATTTGGAGTGCTTGAAATTCTTGAGACATAGCTGCTCGCCAGTGTTCGCTTTTGACGGCTTGATTGTAGGTAGTTGGCTCGGTATGAATTATGTAAGATAGATTAAAGATGGTTTTAGGTCTGTTGTGCCCGGTCTTGGATCTGGTTAGCATAGGGTGAGTGACTGGTTGAGCAGGGTGATTGGTGTTAGGCTTGGCATGAATGGAGGTAGAGTGCTAAGAAACAGGTGAAGAGGGACATGGTGTTGTTTGCGGGTTACTAGATGCAGGTGTTGGAACAGTGTGATGATGATCCAAGTGATGTGAAGGCGTGTGTGTTTGAGGATGAGTAGAGAGAGGTAGACTGGTGGAGGGAACAAGCAGAAGAGGTGGTAAGTGGAGGTTCTGAGGTGTAGTGGTTATTGTGGTATCGGTAGATTGGGAGAAAGGAAATATAGTTTCGTTGAAGACTACATGGGGTGACACATAAATTTTGTTGGTCTTGATATCAAGACATCTATAGCCTTTCTGATTGGGAGCATATCCAATGAATACGCACGGTTGAGAGAGAGACGAGAGTTTGTGGGCCGCATACGGTTTGAGCCAGGGGTAACAAAGACATTCAAAAACTTTGAGGTGACTGGAATTCGGACTTGCTTTGTAAAGAATCGTGTAAGGAGATTTATTGTGAGTGTTTGGAGATGGTAGACGATTAATGAGGTAGACAGCGGTGATAAGAGTGTCGACCCATAGGTGATTAGGGATGGAGGCAGTGAAAATGAGAGTGCGAACGGTTTCTGTGATGTGCCGATGCTTTCTTTCGGCGACGCCGTTCTGAGGTGGGGAGTACGGACATGTAAATTGGTGAATGATGCCTTGATTTGTTAGATGAGTTTGGAAATGTTTATTAATGTATTCGCCTCCGCCGTCGGTGCGAAAAATTTTGATATGAGCTTGAAATTGGCGGTAAATCATGCGTTGAAATTCTAAGAATTTGGCAAATACGAGCGGATACACCCAGGTGAATTTGGAGTGATCGTTTATAAAACTGACATAGTATTTGTAGCCATTGTTAGAGATGAATGGGGAGGGTCCCCAGACGTCCGAATGAATTATATAAAATGGAGTCGAGCTAGTGGATTGAGATTTATTAAATGGTAAGCGATGGCTCTTGGCCATTTTACATGAGTTGCAAAGTAATTTAAATGAAGAAATACAGATATTCGGATATTGATTTGCAAGATGAGAGAGCGTAGTCGATGAGGGATGTCCAAGACGGCGATGCCATAGGTCAGGGACGGACTGAATAGAGACAAGAGCCAGTTGCGAGGTGTCGTTAGCGGATTGGTGCGGGGCTTGAATTGGATAGAGACCATTAATAGACGGACCCTTGAGAAGAGTTCGGCGGGTCTTCCGATCCTTGAGTTCATAACCGTGAGAAGAGAAGGTCATAAGACAGTCATTGTCATGAGTAAGTTTGTGAACAGAAATCAGATTAAAGGATAAGTTTGGAACCAGATTTAGATGAGTTAGGCGAAGGCTACCTTGCGGGGTAGGGAGGAGACCATTACCAATGTTTTGAATGGGAATTTGGTGACCGTTACCTAGAGTGACTTGAGTGTTGCCTGTGTACGGTTGAGAGGTGTGAAGATTGTTCGGGTTGGAGGTGAGATGCGAGGACGCTCCGCTATCAAGAAATCATTCGGTGGAGGAATTTGTCGCCGGGGAGGTGAATAAGGCAGCGGTTGGTTGTTCGGAATTGTAGTCGTCATCATGTCGATGCCAACATTTGACTGCGGAGTGACCAGTCTTGCCGCATATTTGGCAAGTTATGGCGGGTCTTGCGGTTCTTGGGCCGCGGTTGTTGCTTGGGTTGGATCTGGTATTGTAGGAATTTCGTTCGCGATTGGAGGATCGGCCACAACCACGACCGCGAGTGGCTGCGAGCGCCGTGGTGTTTCCAGCGAGTTGAAGGGATTGAAGCTCCCGGGTAGCTTCGTGAGCAAGATTAAGCTCCTCGCTGCAGAGGAGAGTGTAGAGCTCGTCAAGATCAAGGGGTTGACGATTGGTACGTATCGCCGTTTTGAATGCTTGATATGTTTGGGGAAGGCCATCCAAGGTGTAGTGGATAACTTCTTCAATAGGTATGGTTGCGCCGGTGGCAGCAAGAGCGTCAACCTTGGCTTTGATGTCAAGAAGGTATTGGGACATCGTTTTATCTTTCATGGTGAGACAGTTATTTGGGCTCGGATTGGGTTGATCTTGGTGTCGTTGGGTTCGTATTTCCGAGACGCTCAGTTCGACAGTAAGCTTGCTGAAATCGGAGTTCATATGCTCCCGGATTTAATTTTTGAAGTTTCCAACTAGCTTTTGCTTCGAGATTCGTGCCCAATCAAGCTAATTTTGTGATAACGTATCAGACATAATTGTGGGTGAGATGATGGAGTACATGGCAGCAGTAAGATTTTGGTCTTGTAAGAGCCATGCGTCATAATGGGGATTAGGAGTGGTGGTGCCGTCGACAGTCGTCGTTTGGGATGGCGGAGGGGAGGTGCCGTCCAAGAATCCTTGATAGCCATTAGCTTTGAAGAGTTTGAGTACCTGTGAGCGCCATAAGGGGTGATTGTCGGCGTTGAGAGGTTGGGCGACGACACTTTTGAGGTGGCTCATTAGAAATTTTAATGATGCCGGAATTGATGGTGGGTTGGACGGTGGTGTTTCTTCCGCAGAGGAGAGGCTGGGGGACGAGGTATTGGATGAGTTAGCCATGAACGGCGAGGAAGAAGCAAGAACGGGAGGAGGGGAGGAATCAGTGCTCTGATACCATGTAAGGTAAGGGCGGGACAACAGAGAACAGAAGATGTAGAAGAGAAAATATGTTTTCTTATTATTATTGTCAGACTACAGTGGATTATATATAG